TTTCCTATAATCTTAAGATTTCTAATATTTTTTAAAATGTTTTTAAAAAGGAAGGAAGAGCCTAGCTCAGACCCCTGTAGAGAGATGTAACAAAGGTTAGACCCACTCCAGCGCCCTGGAGAGCACGCTCTCTAATTCACAGGGAGCAGCTGAGTTTAAGATTAGCTCATGGTTGTCAGTTTTCATTATAGATTCTAATTTCACCCCATCTCTGCCCTGACTACCTGGCAGAAGTCTCTGGACCAAGGTCGTTCTGAGCAGGTCTCGTCTTCCCGAGCTCGGGCTTCTTCTCCAGACGACACCTCCATGCCAGGAATGTGCCCACCAAGACCTTTCAGCAACCTGCCTTGGGTCACGGCAGTCGCCTTTAATCACCGAGGCCAAGTCCGCCTTCCTTGGATCTTCTCCCTCTCCATCCCTAAGGCTATGGCTTTAACCTGTCCAAACGTTTGCGTTATTTTATTATTTTTGTTGTTGTTAATCCTCACCTGAGAATATTTTTTCCATTGATTTTCAGAGAGTGGAAGGGAGGAGAGAGGGAAAGAGAGAGACAGAGAGAGAGAGAGAAACATCAATGCAAAAGAGACACATCAATTGATTGCCTCCTGCACGTGCCTCGACTGGAGGTGGGAATTGAATCTGCAATCCAGATACATGCCCTTGACTGGGAATCAAAAGAGTGACCCCTTGTATCCAGGCCAACACGCTAACCACTGAACCACACCAGCCAGAGCTGAAATTTTTTTTTTAAATAAACATGTCAAGGGCTACTGACTTGACCTAGCCCATGTGGAAAATGACTGAAGTTTGCTCATTCTGTATATTTGTTATTTTCATGGATAAGAAAACAGGGAAGTGTATGATTTTGCTGGAACCCCATGGCAACATTTATTAAAAGCTGATGGAAGTGTCAAAGTGCAAATGCTATAGGACCTTTAGCAGAATAATATTCAAAAATACCACATCTCTCCCTGGCTGGTGGTTAGAGCATCAGTCTGTGGACCAATGAGTCCAGGGTTTGATTCTGGCCAAGGACATGTACCTCGTTTCCAGTTCATCCCTGGCCCTGGTTGGGGTCACGCAGGAGGCAACCAGTCACTGTGTCTCTCTCACATCAATTTCTCTCTCTCACCCTTCTCTTCCCCTCTCTCCCTCTTACTCTGTCTGAACAAATATGAAAAAATATCCTTGGGTGAGGATTTAAAAATAATACCACATCTCTCTCTACTGATAAAGCACCACCATCCTCATAATGAATGCAGAGCCATCACTAGCTTTGATCAAAACCCTCAAGAAAAATAATACATTGGTAGAACATCTCCCTGGCTTTAAAACTCTGAAGGCCACAAAGTTGATAGATTAACAACCTTACTGCAGATCCAATCGATGCTGTTTATGGCAGAACTGTGTGTGTCAAGAAAGGGGAGAAAATCGCAGATTTAGAAGACATCTCTAGGCCAGAGAGCTCACCTTCATTATATTGTTTGTTGGTTATGTTTACCTCACATTATGAAAAAAAAAGAATTTCAGGCAGTTTACAGGAAGCTCTATAAAAAGCCATGGTCTAGAACAGGATAAAATTAATAAATGAGTAAAACTGAAGTGAAAGGGAACAGAGGACTGGAAATGGAGGTGAGGGCAGAAGCAAGGGCAGGGCACCAAAATATCTGGACAGCTGCAGAAGACAGGCTACAAATCCATCTATGAGCTTCCTAGAGGCCAGAGCAAAGAAGGAAATATAATCAGTAACATGTTTCACAAAGTCCATGCTTACATAAATTTGTTTATCCCCTCTGAACCAGAAATGGAAATTAAAAGAATCTACAGGCTTTCATAAAATCAGTACTGTGTGTTATCGTGGGCATTAACATCACTGCCTCTACAAAAAAGTCCAGCTGAGAATTTTCAATGCCCCTTAACTTATGTTGAGAGCATAAGTTAGTACTAATACTTTTAAATAGGGTTGAAAATGCCACCCAAGTTGTTTTAAATTATCTATGAACAATGCATGCTTTTTTTAAAACAACTAAATTGAAAAATAAATAAGTGGGATATAGCTATCTGGTAGTCTGGCTTTTCTGGGGCAACATCTAAAATTAAAAATATTAAAATGGTTTCTCAGGTTACTCATCTGTAAAATGGAATAATGCTGGATATAACTCATGGAATGAAACGAAAAGGAACACATGAAAGATGTGAAAACACTTTTGGAAAAATAAAATGCTATTTTCTAGAAGGCGGGAGCTGTTATTACGCAGGTACCAGCCAGCCGTCCGCGTGGTGCTGATAGGAGGAACAGAGTGTGTTTTTTTAATCAAACTCAAGGCTAACAAAAGCCAGAACCAGGTTTCAGCAATATTAAGGAATTTATGTGACAGCAACCTGGCGTACTTATGAACATTTCATTTAACTAATGGATCACACAGTTTCATTAAATATTTATTGCACCATAAAAATTCATTACATAAACTCTTAGAGTATCAGAAAAAAAGCAAGTCTATAAACCTAAACAATTCCACCTGTGCTTCCATTATGGGGGGGGGGAACTGTTACCTGGTCCTCACCTGAACCCCACTCGCCAGGGAGGAGGCGGGCACACTCCTCAACCACACACCCTCTACTGCCAGCCTGTTCCTCCATCTGAGTAACAGGGACCTACCGCTGTTCCGCAGGCGGAAAACAAAGACGAGTATTTAATGAGGCCCTCCCCGAGAAGGGATTTTAAATAAACAAATGTCACATTTGGCAGCTTCACCTGCTGATTTTCCTAAAATACACAGGGCCATTATTTACTCTCGTCCCACAAGCTGCATTTCATTATCTTCAAAGTTGATAATGGGAAAAGAACAACCCAGGCCAACATCTGTACGAGGCAAGGCTGCGGAGTGTGCAACAGATGTCCCCACGCTGCCTGGCCTTGAGGGTGGCCCTGAGCAGGGGCTCACGCCCACTCCACATTCCAGAGCAGGAACAATCCGGGGAGCTATGTCCATTGCTCAGTTGCCCCAGCAACACCCCTTCCCATTGGCCCCACTCAAGGTCTCTGCCAAGAGACGCCACCTTCCCCCGGCCCAGAGAGCCCAGTCACAGGTGGCACGTTTTCTCCCATCACCGACATCCGATATGAGTTCTTCTCTCTTCTCGCACATTTAATTTTTACCACCTTCCTTTAGGAAAAAAAGGCCCTTCATCTCCCTTTGCTTCATGAATGATCTGCTAGCCCGATTTCAATGACTGTAAAATGGGATGCAAGGATGGCTAAAATTTCCCCCACAAAAGGACCTGTATTTGACGGGAAGCAACCCAATTTCCACAATTATCTCCTTCACAAAAAGCACACACAACAGTGATAACCTTGGGGTTGTGTTTTCCTAACGCCATGAATGGGGATGGATGCTCTGACAAAGGAGCTGTTTTTTGTTTGTTTCCTGATTTGTGAATGTATTAATTTAAGCTTTCTCACAGAAAACATAAACATTCAATCACACTGGGGAGATACTGAGCAAATCACCGACATGGAAAACTGTTTCCTGTCCATGAAACACCCTTCTCTCTGTTAGCCCAGCAAACTCCTCTGAATTTCAGTTCAAGCTCCCCCCCATGGGAAGGCTCTCCTGACCCACACACATCCTTCCCCTTGCACACCAGCCTCACAAGCACCTTTCCCCTTGCACACCAGCCTCACACACTCTTCCCCTTGCACACCAGCCTCACAAGCACCCTCCCCCTTGCACAAGAGCATCTAGGGAGGCATAGGGCAGTGCAGTGCAGAGGCTCCCAAGCTTGGCAGCACAGTGGGATCACCTGAGCAGTTGGAAAAATGTTGACACTCGTCCCCCACCATGGGTTCTCATTTCCCTGGTGCAGCTTGGGCACTGGGATGCTTAAAAACTCTCCCAGGAGACTTGAATATGCAGCGAAGTTTGGGAAACAAGCACAGTGGCTAAGATAGTTCACATGCACCTTCAGGGCCAGCATAACCCCCTCCTCGGTCCCGCAGGCTTGGGCCCACGACTGACTCCCCTGAGGCTGAAAGCACTCACTGCGAGACGGGGCGGCTCTGAGAACACGGACCTGGTCCGGAGAGGATAGTAAATGATACGTAATCGACACAAAGTGAGTATCACGCAGCGTCAGTGCTCGTGGTAGGCAGGAAAGCGGCCCTCCAAAGCTGTCCATGCCCTAGTCATCAGAATGACTTGGATGATGAGAAGGTGGACCTCCGAACTGATGAGGTTTAGATGAGATTGTGGGTTTTTAACTGATGAGAGAGACCCTGAGTATATTTTGATTTGTAAATTTTGCTGGATGTGAACCTTGGGGGATAGTGGGTGGACTGTGGTAGACAAAATAATGTGGCCCGCACAGATGTCCACTCCCCAACCCAAGTCCCAGCTGACTGCACAGGGGTCGATTCCTTACTGAAGGGCAGCCGTAGCTTGGCCTGACCAGAAGAGTTAGATCCAAGCTAGACACCGGAGAAAATATGCCCATTCTCTCTCTCTAGACTTCAAACTCATGCACACAGATTATGCCCCGTGGTGGTGATAGGACCGGAAGTGAAAAGACAGGAGAAGCAGCGAGGCAGCAAGGGGATGACCGAGCAGAAGTCCGAGTTAGCAGAAGTATACGAGGTAGAGGAAATAAGCGAGGGGGAGACCATCAGTGGAAGCAGAAGCCGAGGATGCCCGATGGCAGGGAGTGAACCAGTCCTGTGCAAGGGAGCAGGATAACCTGACCCCTGTGAGGCATCTGGGACCCCTCCGGTTATGAAATCACACCCAGTCGCTGTGAGGCCGGGCTCAGGGCCCTATCCGAGACTCTGGAGACGTTCCTTCCGGCCTGCCTGCTGAGGGTGGCCACCCCTCCTTACTGGTCAGCTGGCAGGGGCTGCGGCGAATGGCCTGAGGCTCTCACTCTGGTGCCCTTCCCTCTCGTCGGAGCCCCTAAATACATCCCTGTATCTGGCAAAAACGAGAAACATGAGATCGTGTACTCACGGACTTCTCTTGGGCTTTCAAACCGAAGCTCCACCGAGTGCCAAATAGATGACCTTTGGCGAGTCCCTTCACTCTGAGTCTCAACGTCTACCTCTGCAAAGCTGGAAAACTGGTGCCTTACCCCTCACGGTTGCTGAGAAGAACAAACGAGATAATATGCAAATGCCTGGTAGCACAGGAGGTGCTTTACATATGAGCTGCCTTCCCTGCCATTTCATTTGTATATAATTCTTTGGAAGGAAAAGAGAGACGTTTCTCTGATATTTATGTCCTATGCCATACACCTATCAGTTTTTCAATACATTCCTGTCAAAATGAATCAGGAAATAATTACCTACAACTATTTCTGTTGCGACAAGAGATGTGACATGTTAACTTAACCCGACCTCGGGCTCCACTCCTCACACCGCCCCAGACACAACCGAGTGCCCTCCGCACGGGAATACCTGCTGCACTTGTACGAGGTGGTCAGACCCCAGCACACGCTGGGCATCCAGTGTCGCCCCTCCTCACCGCCTCAAACTCGGCCCCCCTTTGAGGCCCCATCAGGAAACATGGCAAATTCAACATAGGCTTATTCCAGAAAAGTTAATAAAGGGAATTTTTACCCAAGGGTGAGCTGTGTTGAAAGGAAGCCCCAAAGGACAGTGCAGTAGCCCAGGGAGAGACTCGCAGAACTGTTACTTCTCCTATAAATGAAGGGGTGAGAGAAGGGAGAGGCACTCAGAACGGGGTTCGGGCTGTAGAGGAAGTTGCCTCTCAAGAAGCAATCACCTTCAGTCTAGGATACTCCAAGCCCAAGCCCACCCAGCAGGGAGAAAGCTCCAAAACACACAGCCTTCACTCTCCTCCTCCCTGCCCTTCAGCCCCTGCTGGAACTGGGTACTGGCTCACCCCCAGGAGAGGCCCAGGGGCCAGGAAGCCCACGGGTGCCGCGCACACGGTCAGCCCTCTGGACTGCGGAAGGTCAGTGCAGAAGAGCAGACGGTGGTCTGGGAGGGGAAGCAGAAGACAGACCCTTCTGGTCCACGTGAAGATCCTCCTCCAGGAAACACAGCCTGTCCCAGCCCCTGTCCTTCAAAACCCCAAAGGGACTTCATGAAGACAAGGCTCCCTGGGACAGAACATGAGACAGGAGGAAACGAAGAGAGGGAAGAGAATTACATGTGGGAGAACGTACTACATGTGCCACGTTGCGTGATAAGCACTGTCCATCCCTCATCTCGTTGATCTTTACAAGCTGTGAAGGTAAGTAATATTATCTTCATTTCACAGTAGTGAAACTGAGGCACAAATATCAAGCCCGGGTCCCATCTCTAGTCTGGATCCAGATCGAGAACCCGAAGGAATCTAACTCCAAATATCAGAGTTTCCATACAACCATTCTGCCTTGTATAAATTGTCGGGGGTTTTTTGTTTTGTTTTGTTTTAATCCTCACCGGAGGACATTTTTCCATTTTTGTTCAGATAGAGTGGGAGGAAAACAGAGGAAGAGAGAGAGAGAAACATAGACGTGAAAGGGACACATCGAGTGGCTGCCACCCGCACAACCCCAACCAGGGCCGGGGACAAACTGCAACCGAGGTACATGCCCTTAGCAGGATCTGAACCCGGATCTCTCTGGACCGCGGGCCGACGCTCTAACCGCTGAGCCAAACTGGCCAGGGCTAAATTGTCCTTTTATAAATCTACCTGATCGTGTCCCTCGAGGAGCCTGAAGGCACCCGAGGGCACAGATGCTCTCTCCTTCATCTCCTTTGCCCCTGTGCTCAGGAGAGGCAGGAAAGTCCCCCACACTGCTGAATAAGTACAATCACGGAATCTTTGAAATCCCCACAACCCTATTTTTCCTCAGTTTAAAAATAACCTGTTTTGCCAAATACTCAGAAACTTCTTTTCCCTCTTTAAACAGACCTTTTTTTTTTCTTTTTCTGTTTTAACACCTATCAGGATTCACCACTCAACACTCCCACAAGAAACACCCCCAGGCTCCCTGTCTCTGCAGGCAAGCACTCGGTGCATTTGGGAAACATTTTGGATTAATTTCTGCCTGCCAAGGACAAGGATGCTGGGTAGCTTTCTCTTCTACAGAGTCTAAAAAGGAATATTATGCTCATTTCCTTAAGTATTTCCAACAACATTTTTTCTTTATCTTCACCTGAGGACATATTTTTGCATTTATCTTCAGACAGAGCAGGAGGGAGAGAGGGAAGAAGAGAGAGAGCGAGAAACATTGACATTAGAGAGACACATCGAGCGGCTGCCACCCACACGACCCAACTAGGGCCGGGGACAAACTGCAACTGAGGTACATGCCCTTAGCGGGAACCGAACCTGGGTCTCTGGTCCGTGAGCCGACACTGTAACCACTGAGCCAAACTGTCCAGGGCTCCAACAGCATTTTTAAATGGATTATTTGCTTAAAGTCTTTATTACTAATAATGAACACAATAAAATGATCGACGACACAACCACGGCAGTTCTGAATATCTGACATTATGTGTGTGCACTATTTATTACCTGGTGAGTATTTCTAGAAGCCCCAAGTGCCTTTCTGACATTTCGTCCTGCCTTCTCTGCAGGGAGGCAAGGGGAGTGGAGGCCTGAGGCCCAGAGAACTCACTTCCTCCTTCCCCACTCCCCTCCATTGTCATTTAAGGGGAAGAGGAGAAGCCTTGTCAGGACAGAGCAACAGTGAAAGGGAAGGCCTTCCAACTTTCCTTCGGAGGGCGCCCTCCGGTCTCCCCGTGGTCCATGCACACAGGCCACCTGCCCTTTCTCAGGACTGTCAAGGTTTGCCAAGCACTATCCTGTTCATGCGCCACTTCCTCTTGTGACAACCCAGTGCGGTAGGTATTGCCGGCCCTACTTTACGTAGATGAGGAGATGAAACATCCATAGCCCCAGGTTTCCAGGCCGGAAGTATTGAAAATAGAGCTGCAATCCAGTTCTCCTGGGCTCCAGGGTCTTCATTTGTACCTGGCGCATAACTTACTCCTGGGTCTTCGTGGTGCCTTCTTTCAGATTATCGGCTCCAAGGTTGAACCCAACCATGGGGCTGGGGGTGGGGGTGTGGGGGGAGATGGCGGGAGGAGGGCAGATCTGTTGCAAGGAGGTTAACTGGCCACAGCACCCCCACGCCTAACTCCGGAGCTGGTCAGACTTCCTTCCGCTTACACTGAACCTCTGTACCTTTGCACAGCCACCTGGGCCAAGGCCTCTTCCCTCTCTGGAGGGAATCTCTGCCTTCAGACATTCAAATTTACTCTAAATTAGAAGTGTTCTTTGGGGATAAAAGATCAAGATAAAGATAACAGAATTAATACTAAATGGCTTCCAAGAGCCAAATTGGTAAATGAATTACTCCAGATTTTTAATTGGGTTTATCTCTAACACGTGTGCCAGTCCTGATTAAGTCCCCATTAACTGGCAGTTTGCAGAAAGCAGCCAGCCAGTCCTGCAAACAGCCGTTCGCTTGACATTCATGATTCTCTAGGCATCCACAGCTACCACCCGGCCAGGGAGGAAGGGATCTACGATCAGAAGCAGCATAAAAAGATCTCTTCCCTCAGGAATTCCAGGGGGAAACACCTACAAAAAATCGCAGAGTTTAAAAAATGGGATATCAAATACGCCTTTGAAAAATGTCATGAAAGCTACGAATCCCTTCCCCAAACTCAAGTCAAGAACTTAAGATGTCACGTAGGGGTTTAAAGAAAGAATCAAAAGGTAAAAACGGATATATTTTTAAAGCACAATTTAAAAACTGTCAATATGATGTTCAGTGACTTTTCATCTCTCAACGTTTTTATCGCACCATTTTGTTGGCACACGGCCACAAATCACAATGAAGTCAGAAGTAGCTTCTAATCATATTAAGATTCTACAGCTAAAAGGTACTTTCACATCTGTGTGTTCAAACGAAATGCTCTTAATACCCTTGGAAAAACACAAAATAGGGATTTTCAATCCGCATTTTAAAGATCGAGAGAAAGCCCAAGTGTCCATCAGTAGATGAGTGGATAAAAAAGCTGTGGTACACGTACACAAGGGAGTACTCCGCAGCTGTGAGAAAGAGGTCTCTCACCCTTTGAGAGGACATGGAGGGACCTGGAGAGTATTATGCTGAGCGAAATAAACCAGTCAGAAAAAGACAAGTACCACATGATCTCACTTATTTGTGGAACATAATGAACAAAATAAGCTGTCGACCAAAAGAGATCCAGTCATGGAAGTAGGGAACCGACTGACAAACCTCGGACGGGGGGTGTGGGAAGGGATAAACCAAAGAATGCACTGCATGTATGCACAGCCAATGGACACAGACATCAGCTGGGGGAGGCAGGAGGTGGGTGGGAGCAGGAAGGAGCGGGGGTCAATGGGGGAACAGCTGTAATACTTTCAACAATTAAAAATAAAGAAATAGAGATTGCGAAACCGGGGCTCTGAAAAGGAAGGTGATTACCCAGAGCCCGGTACTAAGTGGCAGCATCCACGTTAAGTCCAAAGGCTTTAACGGCTTCCAGAGTTGTAAAGCTAGAAAGAATCTTGGATGCCATCTAAACCAGTCGCCTCGAGTCTTCATTTTGCAGAGAAAGAAATGTGTCTCAGAGAGATCAATGGTTTGACCCAAGTCGCCAATCAGCAAATCCCTTAGAACAATCAGCCAGGTCACCTGCTTCCTAGTCCATTGCTGACACCACCAGGGTCCAATGTGTGCTCCATTTATCCCATCGGTCATAGAAAGCAATTCTGAATGTTTTTATATTATTAGATAATTTCTAACGTCACTCACTTTTATAGGATTCTTGCCCCTCAAACAACTTACTTCTGAAACATTTCAAAAAGCATCAGAGAGACCTTTCAAAGAATTCCAGGACAGTCAGACTTCCACCCACACTGCAGAAGGAGCCCTCTGTTCAGAACGTAACTGACCAGGACGCAGCTCCCCAGAGCGGCGTCTACGAAGCACTCGTCTGGACTTCAGGCTCCGGGTAAACGAGCTCCGAGAGCCATCTCCTACTCGGCCTGCAGTGCCCAGCACAGTGACCAGCGACCTCAGCGAACAACTTCCAATCAAGAGCTCGAATCACAGATTTCAAAAATTAAGTGTTACATTACCCCTGGGATCATGCTGCAAAGCCTAGCTTCTGAAGAGTCAGCTAGCTGCCCTGCCCTTGTGGGAGCTGGGAGTCAGCTCACAAAGGAGGAAGGACAAAGGGCACACACAGCTGGGATCCCAGGCAGGGAGTTTCAGGGCTGCCAGAGGAGGAGCTCGGCAAAGGGCAGTCACCTGGGGAGAAGCAGTTACGTCTTCTGCCATGAACAGCGTCAGGGCAAGGGGCATTCAAACACAGGGCCCTCCACTCTAAACACGGTTCTTCACTCGTTCGACACACTTGAACTTACTGCCTCCCGGCTGTTTGCCAGGTACAGCTCAGTGCTGGGGATGTAGCTCATGTCCCAGCGGAGGGAGGCAGCAAAGTCCAAATCAGTGTCAAGTATCCCATTTGTCAGGTGTTGGGAAGTCAGATGGAGAAAAGGAAGGATGGAGAGGGGATTAAGACGTGCTGGAAAGGGGATGTTTTTTAAATGCACTGTCAGGGAATCTTAATTACTCCTTAAGGTGACCGCAACATGCTCGAGTCCTAGCTGTCATCTCTTCCTCCACAGAACCACCATGTG